GGCGAGTATCCTGAGTGCAGTGATACGGGCGTACACGTGGTGTGCCAAGCAAGAAGAGTGGGCGAGTATCCTGAGTGCAGTGATATGGGCGTACACATGGTGCGCCAAGCAAGATGAGTGGGCGAGTATCCTGAGTGCGGTGATGCAGGCATACGTGTGGTGCGCCAAGCAAGATGAGTGGGCGAGTATCCTGAGTGCAGTGATACGGGCGTACACATGGTGTGCCAAGCAAGGAGAGCGGGCGAGTATCCTGAGTGCAGTGATACAGGCATACGTGTGGTGCGCCAAGCAAGATGAGCGGGCAGGTATCCTGAGTGCAGTGATACGGCCGTACACATGGTGCGCCAAGCAAGATGAGAGCGTCCCGCCTCCAGCTTTCCAACTCGGGGAGGCACTCAGTCCCCAGCCTCTGTCTTCTTCAGTGTCTCCCCTTGCCCTCTCCTCACTTTACCTCTTTCTACCCTCAGCCCAGCCCAGCCCTGTGTTTCTGACTTGTGGCCCAGTTCTACTCACTGCCCCTTGGGTTAAACTTTGTAGGTAGTTTTAGGGAGATCACTGTAGAGAGAACCTCTAAAAACTGTTTATAAATGTTCTGAGCCAGAAACATGATCATCACGATCATCTAATAACTTAAACAGGGTCTTCCTAAATTGAGTCAGTGGCACAGTGGTTAAGCACCCAGCTGCTGTCCGAAAGGTCGGTAGTTCAAATCCACCAGCTGCTCTGAGGGAGAAAGATGTGGCAGTGTACCCTGTAAAGATTACAGCCTAGGAAACACTGTGGGGCAGTTCTACTCTGTCCTGTTGTGTCACTATGAGTAGGAATCGACTTGATGGCACACAACACATGTACAGAGGGCTTGTACACAGGCTTTTCTACAGTGACTAATTAGTAGTAAGTAGTTGGTAATTGGAGCCCTAGTGGCACAGTGGTTAAGAGTTCAGCTGCTAACCAAAAGATCAGCAGTTTGAATTCACTAGCTGCTCCTTGGAAATCCTATGGAGCAGTTCTACTCTGTCTTATAGGGTCGCTGTGAGTTGGAATCAACTTGATGGTAATGAGTTTGGTTTTTTTTTTAAAATTTGGTAAATGTCTATTTTGGTTGATGAATATATAAACTAAATTGGATCGTCTTTCTTGTTTGAGGCTGTTCAAACCAGATTGTTGAGATGGCCATTTTTAGGTTCCGTTCCTCAAATGTGAATCTCTGACTGAAACACATAGTCCTTTCTCATACACTGTGTCTCGGAGGTGGTTTCTTTAATGATGACAGTTGTTGGCGTCTGTCCTGTGTTTCTCTAGGTCATCACTCCATGTCGGAAGCTCATCTTGTGTGCTGATAACAGAAAAGAAATGGAAGATTGGATCGCGGCACTGAAGACTGTGCAGAACAGGGAACATTTTGAGGTTAGAAGAGAAAAACCTCCCTTCTACAAATGCCTGCCGTGGCCTCTGTTGGCCTTCCCCGGATAGTCTGTATCTCCCACCGGGGCACGCGGCTCTGGACCTCACCATCCCAGCACGTTCCTTGTAAACCAAGGCTTGTTGTTCAGCCTGTTGTCTGACCTGTCAGAATATGGCCCTGTCCTTTAGGAACCTCCCCGCTCCTCTCTTGGGAGCTTTATCTAATCCTGTCCAGGTCACCACATTGCAGGGCTTCCGAGGCTCAGCTGATCCTCACCACCTGTCTGTCCTGCAGCCCACCCAGTACAGCATGGACCACTTCTCAGGGACGCACAACTGGTACGCCTGCTCCCACGCGAGGCCGACGTACTGCAACGTGTGCCGCGAGGCACTGTCCGGGGTCACCTCCCACGGGCTGTCCTGCGAGGGTGAGGAGACGGGTCGGCACACCGCTGGGGAAGGTGGCCTGAGGTGCACTTGATAAAGTCCGGGAAATCCAAACACACGCCCTGTAGAGAAGTCCGTCATGACCTAGGCCGTCGGTCAAGAGTAAACGACTGTCGTGACTCTGTTCTTGTTTATTTTGCTTAGCTAGGAGTCCCTGATAGATTACTTTTTATAGTAATTGAAGAAAGTAAAAGGAAGGGGAGTGGTAGTAAGGGGAAACAAAGAGGAAACAGAGAATGTAGACGGAAAAGAGATTTTCAAAATACCGTCAGCCCCAGTGTAATTACACCCTGCCTCCGCTATCTGGGTGAATTGGGTTGTGGTTGTATGGATTGACCTAGAGGTCAAGATCACCATACTTGGCAAGGGCATCCAGTCCAGTGGCTGGAGCAGTGAACGAGAGCTGGGATTGGCAAACTGGGGCCACGGGCCAAATCCTGCCTGCCTCCTGCCTTTGAATAGCCCGTGAGCTTAAGCATGGCCATTAAATTTTCAAATGGTTGAAAAAGTCAAAAGAAGAGTGATATTTCATGATGTGTGAAAACTACACACAATTCAAATTTTAGTGTCAGTAAAGTGTGGTCTGTTGTTGCTTTTGTGGTACAACGGCACAGTCATGTAGTTGCCATAGTGACGTCTGAGCTGCAAAGCTAGAACTTGATTTCCAGTCTCCCTGCGGCCACGTCTGGTTCCGCTGTCACCATCTCTGAGCACATCACAGTAGCTGAGTTTATAACATGGGGATACGATTTGCTCACTTCCCACCTGTCCTGGGAGACTAGGACAGTTCCCATAATGCCGCCTCCTTTGGCACACCTGTTCAGGACGGAGCCTGCAGGTTAACACGCACCTTCTCTCGTAGTGTGCAAATTTAAGGCCCACAAACGCTGTGCTGTGCGCGCGACCAATAACTGCAAGTGGACCACGCTGGCCTCCATTGGGAAGGACATCATTGAGGATGAAGACGGGGTAAGGCGAGGGGAGCCCGTGGGGCTCGGCGGGTTTACACATCCCTGTTCCCCTCTCACAGTCCCCCCACACTCTCCTGCCATGTGAGCTGGCACCTTCCTGGCAGGTGCTCATTTGTGCAGGCCTCAGCAGGCAGCACGGGGGGTGGGGGGCCCTGTGAGCAGTGCTGTGCCCGTGGGCGGGGCCGTGGCCTGGGCCCTCTCTGCAGACCCTGCCCGACCTCTGCCCGCCCCGGCATCAGGGAGAGCACCTGTGCCGAGAACATCCGGGTTGAGACCGGGAAGAGCAGTCCTGCCCGAGGACGCCCTGTCCCTGTGTGTCGAGTGCTGCGGGCCCTCGGGTCTGGATTCCCGGGAGCGCCTCCATGCCTGCTCTTGGTCTGCAGATCGCCATGCCGCACCAGTGGCTGGAAGGGAACCTCCCTGTGAGCGCCAAGTGCACTGTGTGTGACAAGACCTGCGGCAGTGTGCTGCGTCTGCAGGACTGGCGCTGCCTCTGGTGCAAGGCCATGGTGAGTGCGCCGCGCGGCGGACACGGCGGGCCCACTGCCCTGCCTGGGGACGGCTGCTCAGAGTCCTGCAGGTGCTGGCGCTGGCAGCCAGCACTCGGGGCGCTCGGCGCCTGTCACAGTCCTCAGGTCAGCGCTGCCGGGCAGGTCCTGCCGCGGCTCCTGTGTTACCAGTGAGGAGGCTGCACGGACAGAAGAATACTGTTGACCAGAAGGCTGTTTGTTAGCGAGGAAAGTACTCTGATAATGAGGAATGCAGGATCCGGAAGGCTGGTAGCTGAGGAACTCACTTGGAGTTTTGCATTTAGGAAGCATTTTCCCTTTCCCTGGGTGGAAACCCCAGTTCTCTCTGGTTAAAGGCATGGGTCTGGGGCCAGGAGCACCTCCTGCCCGGGCTTGCTTCTTCCTGTCTTACTCGCCACGCAGTTTCCTCACGTGCGTGGCCAGGGCGCTGGGTGCCTGGGTTGGGGCAGGTTGTGAGCACGCTTCCAGAAGCCCCCGGCGCGTGCCGGCTCACGGCTGGCGGGCTCAAGAGGACGTTGCGTGGGAGGCTGCCGCAGCTCCTGTGATGTCGACCCTTGTTTCAGGTGCACACCGCGTGCAAGGATGCGCTGCTGACCAAGTGTCCGCTGGGCCTGTGCAAAGTGTCAGTCATCCCCCCCACGGCGCTCAACAGCATCGACTCGGACGGTAGGAGCCCACGCCCTCGCTTCTTTGTTTTCTCAGGCCTTTTCTCCAGCATCTTCTCCTGCGCAGCCCTAGAACGGATTAGATTGGGGTTCTGAGGTGCAGTCAGCAAGAAGTCAGGCACAGCCATTGGTGGTGATGCGTCACATACAGAGGTGTTGTGGGGCGCCTTGGTGTTTGCCCCTACGTACACCTTAGACTTGAGGCCCATGTTTTACTGGCGGGTGATAGACTGAGGTGGCTGTTGAGTAGCAGTGGGTTCTGAGACGCTTGTCTCTCTTTGATGTGAGCAGTTGGAGCAGACGCGAGCGCACTGTTAGCCCTGCTCTAACGTGGCCGTGATGGAGACGTGATGGCTAGTACTGACAAGTGTTGGTAGGAAGGTGGGAAACCATGGGGTGCTTCTCAGGAAAGCGACTCCACCAGACTGAGAATGACCGGGAAGGGCAGCAGTGAGGGGAGGGCTTTCTGAGGGTCAGAAACCAGCTGCCGTCGAATCAGCTCCCACTCATGGCGGCCCCACATACGTCAGGGCGGAACTGTGCTCTGTAGGGTTTCCAGTGGCTGATTTTTCAGAAATAGATGGCCAGGACTTCCCTCCAGGTCACCTTTGGGTAATTTGAACCTTCAACCTTTGGTTTAGCAGCCAAGTGTGTTAACCTTTGCATTAGCCAGGGCCTCCTTCTGTGAAGTCAAACTGGATGGGAACTCACTTCCTTTTGTGTGGGGAGTGGTGCTGTGGGAACGCGTTTATTAGCCTCTCACTCATTTACTGGGCGTGTGGGTGTAAGTTACATACACCCTGGAGGTGTCCACTTTTTGTACATGCACAACAGTGCCCTTGGCGTCTTCCGCGGCTCTCACGTTGTTTTGGTCTTTTTCCATTCTCACTTCTAGGGTTCTGGAAGGCCACGTGTCCTCCTTCTTGCACAAGCCCCTTGCTGGTCTTCGTCAACTCAAAAAGCGGCGACAACCAGGGCGTGAAGTTCCTGAGAAGATTCAAGCAGCTGCTGAACCCTGCCCAGGTCTTCGACCTCATGAACGGAGGCCCACACCTTGGGTAGGACGCTTAAAAACATATCCTCCTTGGAGTCTTTAAGAAGTTGAAGGTGGTGCCTGCCTAATCATAATTAAACAAAGAAACAGACAAAATGGAAAGATACAGAAAATTTTTAATAGGAACTGGTATATTGAATCATTCCTCCACCCCCGGCCCAGAATCCAGTCCACAGAGGTACCTACTCTTCACAGTTAATAGAGGGGCTTGTCCTTCTGACTTTTTAAAAGCTCATTTTAGCCGTCTGCACACACACATTTTTTTATTGTTGTAGTTTAAGTGAAAGTTTACATTTCAAGTTAGTTTCTCATACAAAAATTTATACATACATTGGTCTGAGACCCTAAATGCTCTCCCTATACTGTGACGGCAAACACTCCTCCTTTTCACCCCGGATTTCCCATATCCATTCAACCAGCTCCTGACCCTCTCTGCCTTCTCATCTCTCTTCCGGACAGAAGCTGCCCATTTAGTCTCATGTATCAACTTGAGCTGAGAAGGACACTCTTCATGAGTATCATTTTATGTCCTACAGTCCAGTTCAATCTTTGTCTGAAGAGTTGGCCTCAGGAATTGTTTTAGTTCTGGGTTGATGGAGAGTCCAGAGGCCATGCTTTCTGGGGTTCCTCCAGTCTCATTGAACTTTTAAGTCTGGTGTTTTTACTAGAGTTTGAGTTCTGCACCCCACCTTTCTCCTGCTCCATCAGGGACTCTGTATTGTGTTCTCTGTCAGGGCAGTCATCGGTGGTAACCGGGCACCATCTAGTTCTTCTGGTCTCAGGCTGATGAAGTCTCTGGTTTATGTGGCCCTTTCTGTCTCTTGGGCTAATACTTTCCTTGTATCTTTGGTGTTCTTCATTCTCCTTTACTCCATGTGGTTGGGACCAATTGATGCATCTTAGATGGCTGCTTGCTAGCTTTTAAGACCCCAGATGCCACTCACCAAAGTAGGATGTAGAACATTTTCTTAATAAACTTTGTTATGCCAGTTGACCTAGATGTCCCCTGAAAGCATGGTCCCCAAACCCCCACCCCTGCTACTCTGTCTGTCCCTCGAAGTGTTTGATTGTATTCAGGAAACTTCTTAGCTTTGGTTTAGTCTAGTTGCACACACATTTTAATCAAATGTGTTTCTACTTTTACCTGCTGTTCTGCAGGATACCTTTTACCTGGGTCAGCACACAATGTTGTGGGTGTATTTTCATGCCAACATTTATAGGTCTGCCTCATTCTTTTTAACAGCTGCTTAGTATTGAGTTGTTGTTGTTGGGTGCTGTTGGATCAATTCTGACTCATAGCGACCCTATATGGCAGAGTAGAACTGCCCCGTAGGGTTTTCAAGGCTGTAATCTTCATGGAAGCAGACTGCCACATCTTTCTCCCATGGAGCAGCTGGTGGGTTTGAACCACTGACCTTCCGGTTAGCACCTTAACCATCACACCACCAGCGCTCCTTAGTATTGAATAGAAAGCTTTTATCCAGTGAGGCCCAAAGGGAGAGTTTTCATTTTGGGAGGGTGCAAGACACTGCTGAGCATGAGCATGCAGTGATGCAGACGTGCAGGGGTGCAGGTTAAAAACCAAACCAAATCCGTTGCCATCCAGTCAATTCCAACTCACAGCCACCCTATAGGACAGAGTAGAACTGCCCCATAGTGTTCCCAGGGAGTAGCTGGTGGGTTCGAACTGCTGACCTTTTTGGTTAGCAACCGAGCTCTTAACCACTGCGCCACCAGGGCTCTGGGTACAGGTTACAGGATTGTTATTAAAGCTGGCACCAGGCGTGGTGGACGAACGCTTTGAAATGGCACTGGGCAGGTGAACTGCACGGTAGAATTGAGACTGATGAAATATTAACGTTGGCTGGCATTGCAGGCTCCACAGGCATTCCATGTGAGCGAGATGACTTAGGAAGCCCCACAGAGGCGTGCCCCCGTTTATTTGTAAATCCTTGTTTCTGGGCAGCAGCCTGGCCTCACGCTGTCCACACAAGTCTTAGAAATAGTGCTTCATTTTCCCAGTTCCCGGCCTTGGCACGGAGCAGGCGGCCTTGTGGATTTCAGGGTTTTTGTAGGAACATGTGGACATGTCTCTCCTGGCCTGGGAGCCAGGCGCGGCCTCCTTGCTTTAGAACCTCACCTCCGCTGATGCCCTGAGTTTAGTGCCAAGCCATTCGCTCTGAGTGCCTACCCAGGGCTGGGCTCCGTGCTTTAGAGGTCCAGGGAGTAAGTCAAGTCAGATGGCGTCCCCCTGCGAGGAGGACAGTGAACAAATGGACCCCTCAGGGATTACGAGACGGGTGTCAGCTGTCACTGGGTAGACGCAGAGGAGGGGGTATCTGTGAACTAGGGTCTCAGGTCTCGGCTGAGTCAGCGTTTGAGAAGAGCTTGTATTGTAATGGCCGAAAGGAGGTGGGGAGCCCCGGCATAGGCTGTGGGATATATAAAGACTTTGGGGTGAGAGAGGACATGTGGTGACTGAGCCAGGCCCAGGGTGGTGGTGGAGGGAAGAGGCAGAGAGGCAGGCTGGTTGCTGGCTGGCTGCAGGGAGGCCCCTGGGCCAGGAAGCTGCACCTCCCTGAGAGCTACTGGGGTGTCCCTGAAGCCAGGGCCCTGGGACAGCTGGTTGTAGGAGGGTCTTGCCGGTAGCCCAGGTCATCCAGAGGGGACAGAGGTAGCGGGGGCCTCCCAGGGGCTGTGTGAGCAGTGGCAGTGCAGTGGTGGTGGCACCTGGACTCCGGGTGGCCCAGGGGAGTGGAGGGGAGCCCAGAGGAGGTTGGGCTGCTGCTTCGGTGCTAGGGGGATACTTAGGAAAGGGAGTTTCAGGTGAGAGGGGTGGGTTGCATTGCCTGGGAGGACCAGACAGCTGCTCAGAGCCAGTGACCAGCGGGTACACACTGCAGAGGACAGGCTGAGTGAGGCTGGCATCAGCCCTGGGCTCCTTGGCCAGAGAGATGCGGGGTTGGTGCTGGGCAGAAGCCTGGACGTGGGCCCTTGGGGCCATTGGCTGCCGGTGGTTTGCTTCCAGGTGCCCAGCAGTCCCACAGGCCCCTGGTGAGGGTGTGAGCTGGGCTGAGGGGGGCAGCATGCAGAGAAGCCTAGTGTGGGGTGGCCCGTGTGGGCAGGGGCGGGGATGACTGGCTTTGGGGTCTGAGCCAGGCAGGATGATGTTGGCAGGCGCCGCCCAGTTGTGGCCTCTGCTGAAGTCCAGTCATTCAGACTGAGTTGTCTCGTGCCTGTGCAGCCATGGCCTTGGTTGGAGGGGACAGCCAGGCCCCAGTCCAGCTGTCAGCCACACGTTCTCCCACCTTTATGAAGCAGTCCCTGAGGTGCCCCGGGGGAGAGCAGGGCTTTGGCCCCTGTGCGGCCTAGTCACAGGTGGGGAGGGTGGACGGCCAGGCGTGAGGAGTGCAGTCCAGGGTAAAGCAAGCCGGTCATCTGTCCTCTGAGCGCACAGCATTTCCTTGACTTTCTCTTTTCTCTGCAGCTTACGGTTATTCCAGAAGTTTGACACGTTCCGGATTCTGGTCTGTGGAGGGGATGGCAGTGTTGGCTGGGTCCTCTCTGAAATAGACAGCCTGAACCTTCATAAACAGGTACCTGAGCAGACAGGTGGGCGGAACCCGAGCCCAGGGAAGCGGGTGGCAAAGTTCAAGAGCAGTGGCCTGGTGTTAGGTCGATGCTCCTTGTTGTCCTGGTGTTTTGGAGGGGCTGGTCTGGCACAAGGGGGCTATGCGTGAGGTGCACTGGCCGGGACTCGAACCGGGTCTTCCGCACGGAAGGCGAGAATTCCGCCGCTGAGCCACCAAAACCGTCCTTTTCTGTGCCCTGCCCGGCTTGTTTACCTTTTCAGCGTTTGCCCAGCTAAAAACTAGCATATCTTATTTTTGTTTTTATTTCTTTGATTACTGGTGAAATCGAGCATCTCCTTAAGTAAAAATTTACTGAATTATTAAATGAACCACACGTTCATGTTTTTTGCCCAGTTCCTTGATTGAGGTATTCACCTACTTTTTTTTAATTGATCTCTAATAATTATTTTTATATTAAACCCATTGCCATTTAGTCAATTCCAACTCATAGCGACCCTATAGGACAGAGTAGAACTGCCCCATAGGGTTTCCGAGGAGCTGCTGGTAGATTCGAACTGCCAGCCTTTTGGTTAGCAGCCAGGCTGTTAGCTACTCTACCACCAGGGCTCCGTTTTTATTTTAGAGATGTTAAATCCTGTCATAGTGCAGATACTTTTTTCTTAGCTTATCATTTGTCTTTCAACATCCTTGTTTCTCGTTACTTTCTTGATGGGTTTTGTCTTTTTTCTCGTGCTTTGAAAGATCTGCCATACACGCAAAAAAAAAATGCCTGTGGCTGTCGAGTCGATTCCGACTCGTAGCGACCCTATAGGACAGAGTAGAACTGCCCCACAGGGTTTCCAAGGAGTGCCTTGTGGATTCGATCTGCTGACCTTTTGGTTAGCAGCCGAGCTCTTAACCACTGCACCACAAGGGTTTCCTAGGACTGTGAAAATATTGATCCATATTTTCTGATACTGTGTTTATGGTCTTGTTTTACATGAATCTTTGATCTGACTTGAACTTGTTTTTCAGTGGCTTATCTTTCCCTGCCTGCCCCACCCACGTCAGTGGTCTTTGTAGGTGGGGTGGACGTTTTCGTTGTCAGTATTTAACTCCTGGGTAGTAATGATTCTGGAGACTGGATCGTCTCTGAGCCCACGTCAGGTTGCACTGCCTGGCTGCAGCCAGGCCAGCTGCTCAGGAAGGAGAAAGGCTGCCCCCGGTGGTGAGGTCCGAGCGGTACACTTAGATCAGCGTTAAGTTTTACGGTGTCGCGTGCTACGTACAAGTTCACTCTCGCTGGTTAGGAAGACTGTGAAACCACCCATCTCGTTCCATTTCACCTGTCCATGGGCTCAGGAAACATCTGCCTTTGGGTTTTCTGTGGCAATGGGTGCTCTGGCCATTCCCTGTCTCCCCGGGACCCCACAACCCTCCTGTGTTTCTCAGCTTCTCCGTCTCCCCTGCAGCCACCCTCTAAATGCCGCTGTCCTCAGAGCCTTGCTGGGCCTCTCCTTGTTTGTCACGCTCTTCCCGCGAGATATCTCCATGACTCCGGGGTTTGCTGTCGTCTCTTTCTCGAGGTGCCCTAATTTATAGCTGAGCCCCAAACCAAATACGTCTCTCTTGATGCCCTGTAGTGCCTCAGACTCAGCACCCCCAAGCCTGAGCCTCCCTCGGCCCCTCCCCACCCCACAGTCCTTCCCTGGGATCTGAAGTATACATCCAGCTGAGCCCTCCTTCCCCCTTCTTCCCTGCCCATCTCTGGCCAGTCACTGGCACTCAGCTCTGCCCCTGTGTCTATGGCTGCTGCCACGCCCCAGTCCAGGCTCTCCCGTGCCGCCAAGCCCAAGTCCTCACTGCCTAGCTCCATCCATCCCCACACCTCAGCCCAACACCTTCCTGAAGGACAGCGGCTTGTGCATCCCTGACTCTTCTGGTGGCTTCCTTGGCGCTTAGGCTGAAGTCCAGACATCACAGCGCAGTCCACCAGAGTCCTGCGCTTGGTCGCTACTTCGCCTCTGATCTCTAGCGTCCTTTTCCCTCACCCTAATCCTCTCACCCTCCCCTGCCCTCCATGTCACACTTCACGCCCCACCCCACGGCACCTGTGTGCTGCCCCACCCAGAACACCTGGCCCTCATGCTGCCACCCCTCCACCTTAAGGCTCCAGGAAGCCTTTGCTGGCATCTCCCACCCTCTGTGCACCCATCAGACCGGGGCCCTGCCCTGATGGATGTCACACTGTGTGGTAGAAGGGTCGGTCATGAGCTGGTTGAGCAGGCACGATGGCTCTGGGTGGGGAGTCCAGATGGAGGGGAGACTGGGCGGTGTGCAAGGAGGTCTTGGGATGGCAGGTGGGCGGATGTGGCCCGGAGCCTGGTGTGTGCTCGAGTTTGGCGTCCAGGCTGTGGGTGGCCCTGACACCTGTTGTTGGTGGGTCTGAGAAGCCACTGAAAGTGTTCCTAGAGGAGTGGAGTGATACCAGTGCCGCTTCTGGAAGACGCATGTGGCTGTAGTGACTGCAGTGACGGGGGCAACAGCTGGGGGGGGGCAGAGAAGGGTTCTTCAGGGACTCAGACATTCGAGCATATGGGACAGGATTGTGTTATAGTAGTGACAGTGGAGAGGAAAGGAATTCAGAGAGCTCGTGAGGGATCAGTTCAGGATGTGAAACAGATGAGATCCAGGCCTGTGGAGAGGGGGGAGAATCAGACCAGCATCGGCCCTGTTTATGTACTGGGGCTCCTCTGGAATGTAAGAGCCCCACGGTTTCAGGTTTGCGCTCTCATATCCATCATTTAGCCACTGCCGTAGGTGAGAGGGAGGAGCCCTGGTGGTGCATGGTGCAGGGGTTAAGCACTCGGTGCTGACCGATAGGTCAGTGGTTTGAACCCATCAGCTGCTCCTTGGGAGAAAGATGTAGCAGTCTTATTTTTGTAAATCTTACAGCCTTGAAAACCCTATGGCACAGTTCTCCCCTGTCCTGTAGGGTGCTGTGAGTTGGAATTGACTTGACGGCAGTGGGTTTGGGTAGGTGAGAGGGCGGTGGTGTGGGCGGGGACTCTTGTCTCTAGGTGTTGGATGCTCATGTCCTCCCTGCTGTTTTGGTTAGTGTCAGCTGGGCGTGCTGCCCCTGGGGACCGGGAATGACCTGGCACGCGTGCTGGGCTGGGGCTCGGCCTGTGACGATGACACGCAGCTCCCCCAGATCCTGGAGAAGCTGGAGCGGGCCAGCACCAAGATGCTGGACAGGTGAGTGGGCACGTATTCTGAGAAGTGGTCACCTTGACCAGGTATCCTTAACCTGGGGTCTTTGAAAACCGGGAGCCCCCTGAAACTGCTGCTAAGAATCTGAGCCGAGCATATGTCCCTTTTCTATGACAGTCTGTAGTTTTGAATCAGAGTGTGAAAAGGGTCCATCCTTCCGACGTGTTGAGAGCCATGTCCTAGGCTGGCCAGGTCTTCCCGGGAGGCTAGCCCTGACTCCATCGGAGCTATTAGGGAAGGCGACTCTGGAACCATTGCTGTCTCAGCCCAGGACCCAGCCCTTCCCGCAGAGCCCAGAGTTCCATGTCCCCATATCCTGTTTCCGGGAGAGTTCATGTCTTGGATAATTGTCCTCTGTGTGCTTAAAATTCTTTGGCATCATCCTCGAGTGAAATGCTTTTATTTCTGAGCTAGGTGTCCGACATCCCCCCGACCACGTACATAAAACCTGTTGCCACCAAGTCGATTCCAACTCATGGCGACCCCATGTGTGTCAGAGTAGAACTGTGCTGCGCAGGATTTTCAGTGACTTAGTTTTTGGAAGTAGATTGCCAGGCCTTTCTTCCGAGGTGTGCCCAGGGTAAATGGGCATTGATGAGCTGCCTTGTGCTCTCCCAAGGACTCTGTGGTTCTGGTCTGATAGCAGGGGTGGCTGGGGAAGCACCTGGCTGCCCCCACCGTCCAGGCCGCCTATTTGAGGAAGACACGTGTGCCCTTAGCTCCCTGTGGGATGTTCACACAGCTGCTCACGGAGTACCGTGTAGCTCTTGGGAGAAAGGTAAATCGACTTCTCCAGGAGCAGCAGCTGACCTCCAGGGCAGCCGTTCATGGGATAGATCTCAGCTCTTCCCAGAGCTGTCTGCTCTCCTGGTTCTCAGCTAAGGAGCCGAGGTGGCCATTTCTATGGCACACGGACCTTCGTAAAGGGCTGAAAGATGAAGTTAGAAGTCGTTCTGAGTGCGAGTCCCCAGGCCTGGGAGGGAGCAGGTACGAGCCCACTCTCGAGGATCCGCACATCCTCGGCTGCCCTGCTCGAGGCCCTGGGGACCCGGCCCGAGCAGACTGTGTGTGTGCAGGTGGAGCATCATGGCGTACGAGACCAAGCTCCCGCGGCAGGCCTCTTCGTCCACCGTCACCGAGGACTTCAGCGAGGACTCTGAGGTAGGTTCTGCTTCTGTGCAGGGTGGCCCTGTTTCCTGCCCGCCGGGTGGGGGACTGGACGACTCAGCGAGATGAAGTGGTATAGTCCCTAGCCCACGCTTAGCACAGAATTACTGTCGAGAAAGCGTGTGTTAACGTCTCAGCCTACAGAAACACACGTTTGTGAGTTTTCCTTAACAAACTCTTTTGTGGTGGGACCCCTCCTTCCCACATTTTATCCAGTGCCAGTAGATTTTTGGAGATTTTCAAGTCTTACGCAGCCCTGGCAAGTCCAGGTTAGCGTTTGACGGAGGGAGAGACCTCGGCCGTGTGAGACGGCATGTGTTAGAAAACTCCCCTTCTGGGCCCGCCCAGCGAGGGAAGTGGGTATGGAATCCCCTTGACTCGGCGTCCCCGGGTGTTCAGTCACTGAGACCCACTGTGGGGGTTTTGGGGGGATTCAGGTGCAGCAAATCCTCGTCTATGAAGACTCGGTCGCAGCCCATCTCTCTAAAATCCTGACGTCCGACCAGCACTCGGTGGTGATCTCCTCAGCTAAGTGAGGCCATGGGCACGGGGAGGGGGCTCAGCCGGGGAGCCGTGCCCTGGCTCCCAGCTAGAACTCTCTAGAAGTGTCCTTTTGTGTGTCTCCTTTTAGGGTGCTCTGTGAGACGGTGAAGGACTTCGTGGCTCGTGTGGGGAAGGCCTACGAGAAAGCGACCGAGAGCTCGGAGGAGTCAGAGGTCATGGCCAAGAAGGTCCGCTCCGGGGAGCCTCCCGTGGGGGTGGAGGCGGGTGGGTGTTGGGTGAGGACACGCCCTCCACTCCAGTTTGTCCCCGTGCTCCCCCCAGTGCTCTGTCCTGAAGGAGAAGCTGGACTCTCTCCTCAAGACCTTGGACGACGAGTCCCAGGCTTCATCCTCTCTCCCGAACCCGCCACCCACCATCGCCGAGGAGGTGGAAGACGGAGACGGGGCCGGCAGTGTCTGTAGCTCCTCGGGGGAGCGCGCAGTGGGCTCGGCCTGCCCCGCCCGACCGCAGATCTTCCGGCCTCGGGAGCAGCTCATGCTCAGGGCCAACAGCCTGAAGAAAGCCATCCGCCAGATCATAGAGCACACGGAGAAAGGTGACCACCTCTTAGTGGCCAGGTGGCCTCCTCAGGAAAGCGCTGGGCACGCCTGGCTTTCCCTGGCCGTGGAGGTAGACCAGATGCTGTCCATCACGCAGGCCACTGCCAGGCCCCCGCAGATAGTCAGCTGTGACGGGAGGATGGGGCGGGGGCGTGGGAGCTCAGCCCTGAGCAGAGAGGAGGTTACAAGGAAACCGGGCTGTGAGGTCCAGCCGGTCCCCGCGGTCCTGGCGTCCTTGCACTCAGCCACACGTCTTCTCTCCCTGCACAGCCGTCGACGAGCAGAATGCCCAGACCCAGGAGCAGGAAGGCTTCGTCTCGAGTCTCTCTGAGTCAGAGGAAAAGAAGGACCTGAAGCCAGACGACAGGGTGGGCCGGCCGCCGCCTCCCAGCGAGAACTGTGGGGTCTCCAAAGGCAGGAGCCACCGCAAAGGTACTGGCAGGCCCCCATCTGGCCCTGGTGACGGCAGCTTGGCATTTCTGCTTCCTGAGACCTGGAAGGCCCCCTCGGAAGTCCTAGGCTGCGTTCTCAGAGTGGGGCACTTGGCAGTGTAGAAATTCACAACCACGGCCTGTCTTCCAGGCTCACCCACGTGGGCACGTGTCCACGTCTGAGTGGGTAAATGTGGCTGTGAAGTGTGTCAGTGGGGGACCTGGCTACGGAGTGTGCCTGTGTCCCCCCAGGTGCTTTCCTCAGAGCCCCCTCCCGTGTACCCCAGGGCTGCCCCTATTTACAAAGAGCAGATAGAACCCACGTGACTGCCTGGGAGAGTCCAGGAAGACATTGTCGACGATAACCGTGTCCCTTGAAAGGGAGGAGTGGTACCCTGTCTGCAATGGGCCCAGTGATGGGCTCCTGGTTGGGTCCCCCATTGACCCTCCCCAGTTCTGCCATAGTTGGGGCCCAGGCCTCCCATCTACATTGACCGGGATTAATGCCCCCCATCCTCTATGCTGAAGGCAGCGACCTCCTCACGTGGTCTGACCTGCCTTGGCCCAGGACCCTCAGGGCTCCATGTCAGCCTCCAGATCAAACCCAAACTCCCCTTCCTCACACCGGGCCTTTGCCTGCACTTGGGCCCTTTGCCACAGTGGGCGAGTGGTTTGTAGTCACTGCCCCACCTCGGCCCTTCTGCTCATTTCCCCGGCCCCCTGCCTCCCAGGGCTGCAGCAGTACTGTTTTGGGCGGCCTCACGCTGTTCTGTTCTGTTTCCTAGTGTCCAAATCGCCGTGCGAGAAGCTGATAAGCAAAGGGAGCTTGTCCGTGGGCAGCTCAGCGTCTCTCCCTCCCCAGGCGGGAAGCCGGGACACCCTGCCGGCACTGAACACCAAGATCCTATACCCACGTAAGAGCCTGCTTCTCCTGGCCACGTGGGCCACAGGTGACAGTGCTGTCCCCACAGCCACAGAGGCGTGAGCCATTGTAGTGAGAGCCGCAGGCCTGCAAGGCCCTGCTGTTCACCCAGCACCTCCAGGCCGAAAGGTCAAGGCAGGGCCACTGCCTGAAGAGTTACAGGTCCATTGGGAAGAGAGACACACTAAAATTTCATGTCACTCTGTAAACGCCCTTATTTACAAAGAGCAGGTAGAACTCACATGGCTGCCTGGGAGAGCCCAGGAGGACATGGTCGACAATACCGTGTCCCTTGAAGGGAGGAGTGGTATCTGGGGTTCACATGGCCGTGAAGCTCCCCTAAGCACAGGCCTCTGGCTGAGGGAGCACACAGCCTCACGTGGGTGGCTGAGGTCTAGGCCGGGCAGTGCAGCCACACTGCGCCTTTCTCCTGTGCACGGTCTGGCCATCTCTAGACGGAGTCTCAGCAGAATAGGAAGGGATTCCTGGAGCCCATGGGACGTGAGGCTAGTGAGGAGGGTTTGGTGACCTGATCAGTGACCAACATTGCTGGAAGGAGTGGATTGGCAGACTGTTCAATGCAGGGCTCTGTCTCTGCTTTAAGATGTAAACATTTCTAAATTGGTGCAGGTAGTGTGAGTGTTTTACCTGGAGTTTACACCTGGAGTGTTTTAATGTTGAATTATCTCAGGAAGTTAGTCCTGTGGAGTGTACGGCCAGACTCTTAAATTCCATGGGAACCATCCATGTACGTGACCCGTGTTTATGGGTCAAACAGGTGTCACTTTCTGCTGCCCAATAGGATCAGCTTGCTTCAGTGAATGTAGGTTGATGATGGTGATGCTTGACCTGAGACTGCTGACCTTCAGAATTTGAACGTGAATTTGCCTTGAAGACACCAGTTTCTCTTAATTCTGTGGGTCCCACTGGTGCGTCTCCCCTTTTGTCTCCCTTCCAGATGTTCGGGCTGGGATGTCCGGGTCCTTGCCTGGGGGTTCTGTCATCAGTCGCTTGCTAATTAATGCTGACCCCTTCAACGCCGAGCCAGAGAACCTGTGAGTATGAGGGGAAACCCACTGGACCTACAGTGAAGAGTGTGGAGCAGAGAAAACGGCTTTCAGAGTTAGCTAGAGAAATGAGTGCAGAGTTAGTAGGTGGTCCCTTCCCACTTGCTGCTGGCTGCAGAGGAAACCTTGAAATTGTGATGTCTCAGCTTCAGGAATATGGTTGAAAACCACCTACCGCTGGTTTGCTAACCAGACCCAAACCAGTTGCGTTCGAGTTGACTCCACCTCCTGGGTGACCCCGTGTGTATCAGAATAGAACTGTTCCATAGGGTTTTCAAGGCTGTGACCTTTTGGAAGCAGATCACCAGGCCTTGTTTCCAAGGCTTCTGTGGGTGGATTGGAACCGCTAGCCCGTCAGTTACCAAGGTTGCTGGAGGAAGATAAAGGGGCCGCAGGCTCTTGTGGCTCATTCCCACATTTCCTCTGAGGAGACCTAACATTCTGAGGTTTTCTGGAGGTTCAGAAACTCCCGTTGGAAACGAACTCTGTACTTCATCGTCACCTCCAAACTGTCACTGTCCAGTAGTCCAGGTTGCTGCCTCTTTTAGACAGCCTTTTCTCCCTTTCCTCAGACGGCACCCTCATCTGCTGCTCCCTGTCATCAGTGACGAGGGCCATGGGTTCCTGGGTGGAGCGGTCGTCCTGGTGGAGCGGTCGTCCGCGTGGCCTTCCCCTGGGTGGAGCGGTCGTCCAGGTGGCCTTCCCCTGGGTGGAGCGGTCATCCGGGTGGAGCGGTCATCCGCGTGGCCTTCCCCCGGGTGGAGCGGTCATCCGCGTGGCCTTTGCCCGGGTGGAGCGGTCATCCGCGTGGCCTTCCCCCGGGTGGAGCGGTCGTCCGCGTGGCCTTCCCTTGGGTGGAGTGGTCGTCCGCGTGGCCTTCCCAGGGAGACTACTGCCCTGCATGTGACTGTTAAGGACAGAGTTTGGATGCTGCTGCCGCCTGTCATGCTGTTGGGCGCAGCCGTTTGGGGACATGACCTCTCCTCCCCCGCCCAGTGTCCAGGGCAGGAGGACATTCAGACAGCAGTGTAATGGAGTCTGCCCCTGTATACCTAGAGACCTTTGCAGAGACAGCTGGTGTTTTGAAAAGCTAGTCTTCTAGATTTTTCTTTCTCCTGGCTGACTGCAAGTTCCAGGGGACCCACGGGCTCATGGTAATTGGCTAAAAGTCACCAAGCATGTGTGTCCAGCATGGTGGGGCCATGCAGGAAGTGTGGTTTGCAGGAACTCTGTGGGTGTTGGGAGCGTGGAGCTGAGCATGCACAGGAGGGCAGCCCTCGCCGTGCCGTGTGCCAGAGTCCCCTTAGTGTGGACACCTGCTATTAGGTGCTGGCCTGCTGGCCCACCACAGCACCCTTGATCCCGGCCCGACTCTGCCACCCTCCCTGGCTGTTCCTCCCCGCCAGGTCCACCTGCCTGGCTGTGGCCATTGCTGCATCCCCTCGTCGGAGGGACAGGGACTCTCCCTTCATCACCTGTCCTGGAGGGAGAACCGGGATCACGGAGCCCAGGTGTGACCCCTGTGGCTCTGGACAAGGCTCAGCTGTGGCAGAGTGGGGTTTGGATCCTGCAGGGTGAAAGCAGGGCAGGGCTTTTGCAGCAGCTGGCCGAGCTGTGGAGGACTGCATGAGAAGCAGAGGGGGGGTCCTGTCTGCTGGGGGGATGGTGAAAAGGCCCCAACTGAAGGGATGAGATGAGTCTTCTGGGTGGTGGGCATGCGGAAAGGGAAGTTTTGCTGCATAGAGGCTGGGATGGATTCTTCAAGTTGCTTTTGTTTTTTAATTTGGAGGCTGTTTTGACTGGGTCTTGGGATGCTTGAGGAGGGTTTTGAGGTGCAGAGATCAAGCGTGTGTGAGTTTACATGGCATAAAGATAGCAGTTTGACCCTGCTGGTGGGAATGTAAAATTGTGGAAGACAGTCTGGCTGTTCCTGAAAAGGTTAAACAGAGTTACCATATGACCCAGCAGTTCCACTCCTGGGTATATACCCAAGAGAATTGAAAACGTGTCCACACTAAAACTTAGACATGAATGTTCGTAACAGTGTTGTAATAGTTCAGAAATGGAAACAACCCAGATGTTCTTCAACTGGTGTATGGACAAAGTGTGGTAAATCCATACAGTGGAATTACAGTTGCGTTCATACAGTTCACCTGTTACAAAAAACGAAGTACTGGTACATGGTACAACACGGATGAACCCTAAAACCATTACGCTGAGTGACAGAGGCAAATACAAGAGGCCACATATTCTATGATTCCATTTATATGAAAGGGCCAGAATAGGCACATCCACAGAGATAGGATTAATGATTGCCAGGGGCTAGAGGAAGTGGGACGTGGGTGGTGATGGCTGAGAGTGTGGGGTTTCTTTCTGGGGTGATGAAAATGTTGTAAGATTGTGGCGATGGTTGCATGACTCTCTGAATACACTAGAAACCACTGACTTGTCCCCTTTCAGCGGGTGGATCGTATGGTATGGGAGTGATATCTCAGTAAACGGTTATCCCCTCCTCACCAGAAGAAAAAAAAACAAAACCAAGTTTGCTGTAAGAAAGAAGTGCTTAGGGGTTGGAGGCTGGAGCGAGGCCGCCCGGCAAGGCTGTGACGGATGTAACCCTGCCTTTGCAGAGAGTATTACACGGAGAAGTGTGTCATGAACAACTACTTCGGCATTGGTCTGGACGCGAAGATCTCCCTGGATTTCAACAACAAGCGTGACGAGCACCCGGAGAAATGCAGGTGGGGCACTGACCGTGCAGACACAGGCCCATCACGTCGTCCTTGCCTCTCCCCTCAGAGAGGAAGGTCATCTCTGGCGTTGGCGGGTTAGAGACTGCAGAATGCTGAGGCCAAGGACAGGCCGAGCCGGGAATGCCCGTGGTCAGAAAGCCGGGGTCTTTCACAGGGATGGGGGGAGCAGGCCACGGTCCAAGAAGCCTGCTTAGAAGGGGTTCCCACCATGTGGTGGGCCAGGTGGTGACAGCTTCAACATCAGACAGCCAGCCCTGTTGTCATTGGAGTGTGCTGGGTCTCTTTAACGACGGTCACCCATCTATGATGATACTGTAGTCATACTTTCTGAACTGTTACTGGACCAGCCCTGGGAGCTTCCAGGAAGTCTCTGTGTTCGTCACCTACACAGACCCGTCCTCCCTGGTCACAGGCAGAGCTGGGCAGCTGGTGTCTCCGGCAGACTGGAGCCCACCCTCTGTGGGGAGACCAGCCCACCCTCTGTGGGGAGACCAGCACTGAGGGGGTTTTGCTGAGAATGGCCAGTTCCTCCCCTAAAGTACTGCGTGCTGGCTCCCCCTGGCCTGGGAAGAGGATGGAGAGAAATGGAGAGGGTTCCTCCCTTCCGAGCTGAAGTAGAGATTCCCTTCCCTCTGGAAATGCGAGGAGTGGGGACTCCCTGTCTCTCAACTCCACCCACAGGACATCATGGGGAAGGGGCCTGTTCAGCTTTGGCATTTTTAGGAGGACTAGAGAGGAGTCAGAGTTGGCCAAGTGGACATCTGCATAGGAGTGGAGGCGCCCCCTGCTGGTGATGGGGCGCGTTCCTGCCTGTGTGTCTCCATTTGGGGTCTGGCCTCCGCCCCTGCATGGCGCCCCGAGGGAAGCCCTGAGGAGTGGCCCAGGGGGAGCCGCTTAGCACCTCCGAAGTTAGCTCAGAGATTGCTAAAGTTCTGTGTAGTTGGAAATTTTTAGAAAAACTGAAAATCGAGCATAAGAACTCAAAAAACCTTTGAACTCTGCGGCTCTTCAGTGAAGCAAATGGCTCCGAGGTCCCAGGGAGGTCTCTGTTACAAAGCACAGAGGGTTATGCTAGTCCAAAAATAATTGGGAAAGGCATTAAAATGCATATAACTTACAGAGTACAATAAGTAGGGGATGAAGGGGGCAGGTGTAGGCCATTTGGAGAACCTCTGGACCCTGCTGTAACCTTTCTGAGTGTGTGAAGCTCTTAGGGAAGGTGTACGTACAAATTCCTATTCTGGAATCTGTCCTAAAGTGATTGGACAGGTGGGTGAAGGGGTGCACAGAGGTCTCATCCCTGCAGGGCTTGTAAGAGCTCAGAATGGGGACAGCCTGAGGCCAGTCATGGGATTAATTTGATAAATCAGGGCACAGAAATGCCTGGCTGAGGAAAACCATGCCTGCGGAACGTGCAGGAACGCAGGGAGTGATGCCATGTGGACAGAGTGGGGCAGGAAGCTAAGCAGATTGTCCCAGGTGTAACTCAGATACTGAAAATGGTGGAGGGAATGTGTGTGTGGGACACACGGGTGGTGGGAGCATGGAAACTTCTCTCCGCTGTGTTCTCTCTTTCTCAGATTTTCTGTGGTAAGCATAGTTTTATAGCCACCAACACATTCACTGTTGATAAAATTCTTTTTGGGGTTCTGTAATGTTTTTTCTTGCCTTTCAGAGTATAGTTATTTCCTTATTAAAATTTTACTTTTTAGCAAAAGCTCATGTTGGCAAATATACCTCTCGGTATGAGGAGCCCAGGTGGTGCAGTGGTTAAGCACTTGGCTGTTAACCAAAAGGTCAGCAGTTCTAACCCACCAGCTGCTCCGTGGGAGAAAGATGTGGCAGTCTGCTTCTGTAAAGATTCCAATCTCGGAAACCCTATGGGGCAGTTCTACTCTGTCCTGCAGGGTCGCCATGAGTCAGAATCGACTTATCAGCAGTGGGTTTGGTTTCTTTTGTGCTCATCTGTGTAAGCAAGAGTCTGTCCTTCATTTTAAGGTGGTGTTGCTGTGAGAATTGCTGAATCACATCGACTTGTGATCAGATGCCATTCCAGACTGCAGTAACAAGTACAGTTATTGTACAGACAGCCAAGAACCACGTCCGTTCTTTGCTTTTCGTTTCTAGGAGTCGAACCAAAAACATGATGTGGTACGGAGTTCTGGGGACCAAAGAGCTGCTGCACAGAACCTACAAGAACCTGGAGCAGAAGGTCTTGCTGGAGGTGAGCAGGCAGAGCGCCCCTGCACTGCCGGCGGCCTCCCCCACCAGCTTACCCTCCGTCAGGGCTCCTCCTGCAGCCGTTTCCCTATCTGACTGTGGACCCTTCGGCTCTGTGGCTCCCTTGGGTGGTTGGGTGCCCGGCTGGGCAGTGGCCCTCTCACCCCCTAAGCTGCACTGCCCTGTCTGCTGCTGCAGGAAGACCCAGTGATGAGGTGGTTTCTCTCTCCCTCTCAGTGTGACGGGCGCCCAATTCCACTCCCCAGTCTACAGGGAATTGCTGTCCTCAATATTCCCAGCTATGCCGGAGGGACCAATTTCTGGGGGGGCACCAAGGAAGATGACGTAAGTATAGGTGTGACTGGGTGGGTTGGGCCCAGGCGCGGGGAGGGAGAGTAATGAGAGAAGCAAGGCGCTCCTTTCCTGGGGCCGCAGCTCCCTGGCCCAACCACAGGAGCATCCCAGCCCTCAGCACCAGCCTGCCAGACCCATGTGCGGCTCTCGGCGCGGCCCGCCAGGCTCTTGATGCGGCTCTGTGTGGCCCGCCGGACCCATGTGCGGCTCAGACACTTCGTACGGGCAGTCGGGGTGCAGTGGAGGACACGATAGAAGGGGCCCTCTCGTCAGGGGGCTCTTTGTCTAGAAGGGGGGCAGCGAGAAGAGCGGATATGATCGGTGAGGTGCGAGCTTCAGGCCCTGTGGGAGCAGTGCCCACCCAGACTGAGGGCTCAGGAAGGCTTATGGAGGAGCGATGTCCACACTGGGACCTGAGCACTGAGTAGGACGGGGGGAAGGGGAGGCTGTTCCAGGTGGGGGAACAGCATAGGTGAGGGCTTAGAGGCGAATCAGGGTGCAGCGCACGGAGGACGGAAGCTCCCATGACTGCAGGGGCGGAGTCATCATGGGGCCCAGATCACGTAGGGCTTTGTCCACCGGATAGATGTTTGAAATACATGCTGGCAACTGTGGGAGGCATCATCAGGTTTTATCCAGGGAACGCCGTGCTGTGTGCATAATAGCTGATGAGCAGTGAGCGCTTGGTATGTGCGTGCCACTGCTCTAAGCTCTCCAGGCATCCGTCCCTCATGACAACCCCTTGGTGAGTGTGCCTGTATTGCCCCATTTTAGAGATGAGGAAACCGAGGGAGGGAGAAAGTAAGTGACTTGTCTAAGCTCACAAGCCTAGTAAGTGGCAGAGCTGGGGTGGCCCAGGCATCTGGCGGCAGGGTCTGTGATACGAGCCACTTCAGTGGTGTGTTTGCCTTGTGGCTCTCTGTAAGTCAGGAAGCACTGCCATCTTGTAGCAGGCCTGTCTTTTCTAAAGAAAATATTGAAATAGAAGGAAGCTGGGGGAGAGGGAGCGGTGCACAGCGCCTCGGGCCGTGCTGGGCAGTGGTCATCCCTGGCACCTGCCTTGCAGACCTTTGCTGCCCCATCGTTCGATGACAAGATCCTGGAGGTGGTGGCCGTGTTTGGCAGTATGCAGATGGCAGTGTCACGGGTGATAAAGCTGCAGCATCACCGAATCGCCCAGGTAACGGCATCTTGGGAATCAGGAGGGACCTTGGAGGCAGTCTGTCCATGTCCTCTCCCAGGGCAGACACTGTGCAGCCTCCCATGCATTTGGAGAGGCAGGGCCTGGCCAAGAATGGCCTCAACATTGCCAATGTTCTTCCTGTATCTGTTCCTTCTCCTTAAACGCGACACGGTCCCCACAGCCCTTCCTCACATGCCAAGGGTGACGTGTTGAACAGACCTCCTCTGACAAATAGAATCACTTTCCACACTGGAACCAGCTTCTATCCATCCGGCGCCCTCCCTGCCCTGACCTCCCCATTTGAGTCCCAGCCCTGTCCCGCCCCTACCCTCCCTGTGGATCCCGGCTCTGTCCCGCCCCCGTCCTCTGTGTGGATCACGGCCCTTCCCCAGTCCTCTCTCTCTTCTTGTGTACAAAGCCCCGCTGACCTGGCCCCAGGCCGGGACAGACCTGTCTCTGCAGTTTGTCCGTCTCCAGCTGTAGGCTGCCTGCCTCTCACGGTCTTAGCTTGGCAGCAGTGTGTCTGGCTGGGCAGAGGAGTGGTGACGGCGAGCCCGTGGGTGGAATGCTCTCTGTGGATGTGGTGCGGCAGCAGGGCCCAGTGGCCCTCCGTGGTCCCAGTTCCCAGGCCTGGTCTGTGACACTCAGATCTAAAGGCCAGGTTCACTGGCAGGGACCTTACGGGTGCTTTTCAGTGCTGGGGGGAGGCGGGGCTCGGGGCTAGAACCGACCACTTGGGGCCTGTACAGTTGGGGCCCTGCAGTAACGCCCTGATGGCACTGTGCCGTCCCAGCGGGGGGCCCTGGCGTGCACGGGGCATTGTGGGTCCTTGGGAAGAGGCGGGAGTGTGGGGTAAGAAGGCCAGACCGTGAGTGCTGCGTGTGTCGGGACAGTGCTTCCTGGCGTTTCCTGAGTAACGGGCAGTGTGCTTCCACAGTGCCGAACCGTGAAGATCTCCGTCTTGGGTGACGAGGGTGTCCCTGTGCAGGTGGATGGCGAGGCCTGGATCCAGCCCCCGGGCTACATCCGTATCGTCCACAAGAACCGGGCACAGACGCTCACCAGGGACAGGGTAAGGGGCCGAGCACCTGCCGGCCAGGCCTCCTTCCTTCCTCAGCCACTTCCGCCTTTGCTCTGCAGTTTCCGCCATGAACGTACGTTCCTTGTATTAAAGGGTGCGGAGTTGAGTGCAGAATAGCAGATATCTTGTCACCTTCCCCTGGAGCAGGGCTCTGTGGTGTTTCTTTTTTCATAACCCTGCGGAGCTCTTTTTGGAACTGAACTGTCCTGCGGTTACTCCGCTGGGTGGAAAAGTGGCCGTTAACTGCTGCTCAGAAAAGCTGCTCGCCCTCGGGACCACTGTGCCTAAATACGGGGAGAGGGGGCACCATCTGCAGTGGGTGCTCTGCTGGGCGTTTCAGCTCATATACTGCTCAGCAGCCCTGCACGGTCGAGATCACAGGCTCCACATTTTAAGGTGAGGGCAACGAGGATGAGTGGGGCCGGGTCACCTGCTCGAGGCCACACACGAGTAAGGGTTGAGCGGGGTCCAGCCCAGGCTGCCTGGCGCCAGGCCTTTCCCATTGCTGTGGTTTCCCGAGGGCGGTGCGTGCACCTTCCTTCAGCTCTGGGGGGATTCAGACACCCGCTCGGCCTGGGCGTGCCCCTCGATGTTGTGAAGCAGGGCCTGGTCTTGTACGACATTGCCGAATCTCAGTGGGGAAAAGTGAGGCTCTCGTTACGATACGCTCTTCTGCACTTCTTAAAAGAAGAGCCAGAATTAACTTTAATGCTTTGTTCTAGGATTTTCCTTTAGTCACAGATATTAAGACCACCCCTCCCTGCCTGCCAACACACACACTGTAAAAACAGTGGAGGTACCTCCCCTTCCTAGTCCTTGTTAGTCCTCCGCTCCGTTTGTTGGCATTAGATGCGCTCTTGCCCTCTCTGGAGGTGGGGGATGAGAGTGTAACCCTGAGTTCTGCCCGCCCCAGGCCTTTGAGAGCACCCTGAAGTCCTGGGAGGACAAGCAGAAGTGTGAGCTGCCGCGGCCCCCCTCTTTATCGCTGCACCCTGAGGTCCTGTCCGAGGAGGAATCCACCCAGATGAGCCAGTTTGGTCAGGCGGCGGGGGCCCTCATCCACAGGTGGGCCCGCACCCTGCCCAGGGGCCCAGGCTGGAGGGCTGCTTCTGGTGTCCTTCCTGCCGGGGCCTTGCTCTGCTCCCAGGAACCCTCTTCCAGATGTCCGAGTCCCCTGGGCGTTTAGACATCTGACCTGATTCCTGGGAGGAGTGTCCCACTCGAGCCTCCTTCGCTTGGCCTCTCTCTCTCCCAGAGCAGGCCTGCACTCCACTCGTGTGTGTGTTTAAAGAAGCAGTTACCTTAGAGCCGATTCCAACTCTTGGCGGCCCCATGTGTGGCAGAGCAGAACTGTGCTCCACAGGGTTTTCAATGGCCAGTTTTTTGGAAGTAGAGCGCCAGACCTTTCTTCTGAGTTGCCTGTGGGTGGACTTGAACCTCCATCCTTTCGGTTAGTAGCCAAATGCTAGAACACTAAAGAAAGCCAGTGATTACAGTTATCAGATAGCTCAGATACACTGATGACTGTCTTTTCCTATTAGTATTACCTCACTTTTGCATAAACGGAAAAGACAAAACCCATTGCCATCAAGTCGATTCTGACTGATAGCGACCCTGTAGGACAGAGGAGAACTGCGCCATAGGGTTTCCAAGGCCGTAATCTTATAGGAGCAGATTGCCAGGTCTTTTCTCCTGCAGAGCGGCTGGTGGGTTTGAACCACCGACCTTTTGGTTAACAGCCGATCTCTTAACCACCGTGCCAAGTGGTTTACAAATGGTTTAGAAATCCTTGTTCAACCAGGATCGCTTCGTCACTGGAGGGTCTTCCTCCCCAGCTGCTCTGGGAGGGCAGGGCTTGTCCAGGGCCTCGTGGATGTATTGTGAGACCCTCGGCCCCTCCCTTGGGTGCACTAACTGTGGGGTCCCTGCAGTCGCCTGTGGCCGGGCTCCTGACGGCTCGCTGTGCCACAGGTGTGTGCATCTATTTTGCATATCTCATTTGCATAGTCTGGTAGACTTTCTAGAAAACATTGGTTTCCTGTTGAAGATCTCCTCTGTTGGCTGCAGGTCAGGAAGTGATCCGAAGGCCATCCTGCACTGGCGCCTGGCCGCGGTCTCCGCCCTGCTCCCTGGGCCCATGTCTGCACGAGGTCACGTTGTCTGACGAGTATCTTGTCGCCCTTTCTCCCCAGCATCCGGGAGATCGCACAGTCCTACCAGGACATGGAGCAGGAGCTTGCCCACGCTGTCAACGCCAGCTCCAAGGCCATGGACCGCGTCTACGGCAAACCCTGGGCCACAGAGGTAGCTGGCCTCCAGCCCCTCTCCTTGGTGTCTGCGTCCCGGGCTGCTCCATGCGTGTGTTTTGTCCTCGTAGGGGGTAAACTGCACCTTCGTCCTGGAGATGGTGAATAACATCAAGGCCCTGCGCAGCGAGACGGAGCTTCTGCTGGCTGGGAAGGTGGCCCTGGTAAGACAGCTGCTGTGGGCTCTGCCGGCTCACGTTTGGCCCGGAGTCCCAGCTCTGGGGTTCTAGAGTGCCATATGGGAGGGGCCTCGGAGGCTGCCTGGTCCCACTGTGTGGTGGGGGCCTGGGCCCTCTTGGCTGCAATGTGACCCACGCCGCCTCGCATGCGCTGGAAGCCTTTGCTGGCAGGCACTTCCTTGTCCCTGTAGACAGAAGACTGGAAGTCCCCAGGTGTGGTGGTGCCCCCGGTGGCTGTAGGTTGACCTCAGTCACACAGTGTCTGTCCCCTCCTCACGTACCTCCAAGGCCCGGGATGGCAGAGTCAGAACAGGGGAGGCCTGGGCCAGGCGGCCGCTGCTTTAGAAAATGAGGCCGGGGAGGCCCAAGGAGGTGAGGCGACTCGCTCAGGGTCACGGACTGGAGACGCCCCTAAACCCAGCCTCCATGCTGTCTACTCCTCATTCCAAAGCATCCCCTGCCTGCTGAGGTGGTACACAGTTGCTTTCCCACCTTGCCACGGTTCCTGCTTGCTGCAAGTGAACTGCCCCCCGCCCCGCTGTGGACGGAGGGGTCCCCAAGGTCAGCGAAGCCTCTGCTGGATGTGAGTTCCAGGCAGACGTGGTTTGCTCCACTGTTTACAAAGTGGAGCTTCAGAGCTAGGCCCCATCTGCACTGCTCTGTCTCAGTTTCCCTGAAAGCGCTGCCCCTGGAGGAGACCTTACGGCTGGGAGCCTGATGGCGACCTGGCTCCTCACTCACCGCCTGGTAAATCGCTGCACCTCTCTTGGCCCCCTCTCCCTCCGAGCAGCAGCTGGATCCCCCCCAGAAGGAGCGGCTCGCGGTGGCTCTCGCTGAGATGGACCTACAGCTCAGGAAGCTGGCGGATACCCCCTGGCTCTGCCAGCCCCCAGAACCTGGGGATGAAGAGGTAGGTGGGCGTAGGGCTGCGGCTCAGGTGCCCCTGGATACGGCGTTCTCACCCGCCGTGCCTCTGTGCAGGCCCCTCAGTGAAGACAAGGAGGGCTAGTGATTTTACCTGTTACGGGTCGTAGCAGCTGCTGCGGTGGGAGGTGGGCAGCTCGGTGCCTGCCTGGTTGTGGGGTGACCCACTGGCCCGGAATCAGCACTGAAAGCCCCATGTTCCGGGAAACCCCTCAGTCCCGGGGAAACGGGGTGACTGTGGTGCTGCTGAGTTTACTGTGTGGCTGGTGACCTGGAGGGAGGCCTGCCACCCCGGTCACTCTCCTCCTGCCTAGTACCGCCCTTCACAACATTTACACTTTCTTGGAAGAAGGTACAACTTTCTACAACTTCCCCTTTCCAGACCCACTGAGCACAAAGCCTTTATTCCACTCGTAGTTACAACCATCTGAACGTACCATTTTACCCTGCTCCCTGCCTTCAGCTGCATTCAGGTCTAGAATATCAAATACTTAGAAATTTCAGACCATTTAGGAACTTAAAGAACTTGTCAAAGGGCAAAGCAAGGATGTAATTTTAGGCCACTTAGAAAGCGAACTTCTGCCTCAGTTTTTAAGGTGTCACCAACGCTCTGCATCGAAGTGAATTTATAGCCTTAAATGTTTTAATTATTGTAACAGAAAGAAGTAACTAAGCATTCAACTCAAGAAGTTAGACAAAGCTCAAAAGAAGGCAGCAGCAGAAAGGTGTGAGGAGGGTGGGTACAGGTGAAAGCGGGGAGCCGTTTATCCCCCACCCTGTTCACAGAGGGATGGAGGCCCCTTGAAAATACATAGAACATAAGAGGACCAGAAAGCAAATACGGTAAGAATTGGGCTAAAGGCAGAAACAATGGTTGAAATGCAGTGAAGCCAGCAGCGGGGTTGGTTCACCAGAAAAGCAACCCCCAAGGGATTGCCCGACGGTGGGGCCTGTGGTCGGCTGGTGAGGGCATAGGTCACAGCACCACGGCTCACGGAGTGAGACAGACCACAGGCCAGCCAGCCACGGAGGCCCCGAATGTCACAGCACCACGGCTCACGGAGTGAGACAGACCACAGGCCAGCCAGCCACGGAGGCCCCGAATGTCACAGCACCACGGCTCACGGAGTGAGACAGACCACAGGCCAGCCAGCCACGGAGGCCCCGAATGTCACAGCACCACGGCTCACGGAGTGAGACAGACCACAGGCCAGCCAGCCACGGAGGCCCCGAATGTCACAGCACCACGGCTCACGGAGTGAGACAGACCACAGGCCAGCCAGCCACGGAGGCCCCGAATGTTACACATACTGTGGCTGCAACAGTTTTAACCTAAACATGTTTTCAAAGCAAATTATCATCAAGCGCTGTGCAGCCACCAAACACCCATACACCCACCACCCAGAGTTGTCTGACCTGAAGCTCTGTGGGCAGAATGACTCCTCCGAGCCATGTCTTGCAGTAACTGGCAGGAAGCATACAGATGGTGCCTTAGGGCAGGTTTACTTGTAGCCGTCTGGAGCCAGCTGCCTTACAGCTGGGCCCCTGCCCTCCTGAGACACTGGCCGCAGCCCCTCTCCATGCCAGGGAAGGGGAGAGGGTGAAGTACAAAAGGCAAAGAGGACCTTGGAGGGCTGGGACTGGATTTCTGCTAGCGTCAAAACAGGAACAGCTAAGCTGGCTCTTTGAAAGTAAAACAAATCAAACCACCCTCTGGCAAATACAATGAAGGAGAAAAAAATGAACAAAATGAAGTGATAAAGAGAATATAATCATATAAAAGAAAAATCATACTGTTAACTGTGTAGACACAAATGCTAATAATGAATTTTAGAATCTTGATGAAACTTTGATTTTTCAGAAAAATTTTTATTTACAGAAATGGAATACTGAAGACATTTTTAAAGGAACAGCTAGCCACAGAAGAACTTGCAAAAATGATCTAAGAGTTGCCTCGAAAGGAAAATTTCAAGGAATAAATAATTTCCACATATAAGAAATGGTATCCAAGCTAGAAAAAGATGGGCAGCTTCCCAATTCATTTCTTAAAGCTAGCATATCTGATTCCAAAATTCAGTATTTGAGCATAAAAGAATATCAGTGCTTAGGAATATAAACATACCGATCTTAAACGCTCAAATCAAATTCAGTCGGATCTGTGAACAAATACTCTCCCTTGGCGAGGTAACCTTTATGCTAGAAGGAAAAGGATGGTGGTCACACCGCTTCTGTAGTTAAAATGAGAAAAAAAATCTATCAGTAGACAGATAAAAACCATTTTTTTTAAATTCACTAACCTTCAGAGTAACCACATAGTTGATGAAGGAAATTCGGTTATAAGAATTCCAATTAGAAAATGCAGAAGGACGAAAAGACCATTTTGCAACTTGTGATGCAACAGTTGGAGTCCCTGGGTGGTGCAGATGGTTAACTTGCTCAGCTGCTAACTGAAAGGTTGGAGGCTCAGGTCCATCCAGAGGTGCCATGGAAGAAAGGCCTGGTAGTCTACTTCCAAACAATCAGCCATTGAAAACCCTGTGGAGCACAGTCCTACTCTGACACATGTGGGGTCGCCATGAGTTGGCATCGACTTGACGGCATCCGGTTTGATTTTTTTAATGAAACGGAGTTAGGCGGGGTCATCTGTGGGTGGGGGCACCAGCAGATTACAGGGTGATAGGTGCTTGTCATGGGAGAGTGCACAGATTGGTCTTAATATCACTGAAAATGGGCCACCAGGCATTGCCTGTGTCCCAGGAGAAGCAGTGGGAAGAACACAGCAATACCTGGGACGGATTCACACCTAAACAAGTGGAGCTGGGTCTGATCGAGCCTCTGGATCTGCTCACCAGTTCACGGGAAATACCGGGGAGTGAGAAACGAGGTAAACCACGCGCAGGGTTGCCGCTGTCAGAGCCAGGCTATGACACATTCTGTAGGACAGACAACCTGGTTTTTCTACAAATGAAAAAGGAAGGGAGAGACTTAAGAGCCAGTAGCTGACTGTAACAGCATGTGGACCTTGTTTGGATTCTGATTCAAACAAAGCTACTATGAAAAGACATTTGGAAGCAGTTGGGGAACTGTGGGCATTAGATGTGATGACTTTTTGTTAGTTTTGTTCAATATGATCATGGTGCTGTGATTTTCAAAGAGAATTCTCTTAGAGTTGCATATGGAAATATTTATGGATAGAGTAATTTGATGTCTGAGATTTGTTTTCAAACGGGGGTGAGGTACCACTAAAACCCATTGAAACCCGTTGCTGTCGAGTCGATTCCGACTCTTAGTGACCCTATAGGACAGAGTAGAACTGCCCCATAGGGTTTCTAAAGAGTGGCTGGTGGATTTGAACTGCCAACCTTTTGATTAATAGCCAAGCTCTTAACCACTTTGCCACCGGGGCTCTGAGATGCCACTGGGATTTGGCTGTTATCAGGGAAATGGAATGTAACAAGTGTTGGCGAGGATGTGAAGTTGCAACCCGCATCCATTGCTGTGGAAAACACTATGGTGGTTCTTCAGAAGAGTTAGACCATACGAGCCAGCAGTTCTGCTCCTAGGTGCCTATCCAGAAGGATCGAGAGCAAGGACTCAGACGGGTACTTGTACATCAGTGTGCACTGCAGCATTATTCCTAGTGGCCAAAGGCTAAAAGCACCCAGGTGTTCATCAGTAGATGAAGGGAAAAACATGGTATATACACACCCAACCCAACCCATTGCCGTCGAGTTGATTGCAACCCATAATGACCCTATAGGACAGGGTAGAACTGCCCCATGGGGTTTCCAAGGCTGGAATCTTTCTGGAAGCAGACTGCCACATCTTTCTCCTGCGGAGCGGCTGGTAGTTTCAAACCACCGACCTTTCAGTCAGCAACTGAGCTCTTAACCACTGCGCCACCAGGGCTCCTTTATATACATACAATGGAATATTATTCACCCATAAAGAGAGATGAAGTTGTGATACATACTGCAACATGGGTTAACTCTGAAAGCATGCTGAGTGAAAAGCGTATAATCCCACTTAGATGAAATATCTGCAGTAGGCAAAGGTATAAAGCCCACAGTTCATGAGTGGTTAGTATGTGAGGGGCAGGAGGGACGGGGAAACGGGGAGGTGCTGCTGAAGGGGCAGTGAGTTTGTGAAAACTCGGACACGGAGAGCGGTGACGGCTGCACGATGCAGGGAGGGCAGTTAGTGTCGCGGAATTGCACGTGTAAAGCGGGCTGCAATGGCAGGTGTCTCACCACAGGGAGAAAAGGGCAAAACGTTGATAACCCAGCCTCGCCACCCTAGTTTCCCTGCCTTTGTGAGGGAGTAAAATTTCCATATTAAAAGTTAAAAATAAATTGAATAATCATTCATGAATTAAAAGTAATTATTAAAATCAGGAATAAAAACCAAACCCGATGCCGTCAAGTCAATTCCGACTCGTAGCGACCCTATAGGACAGAGTAGAACTGCCCCTTAGGGTTTCCAAGGAGCACTGGTGGATTTGAACTGCCGACATTTTGGTTAGCAGCCGAACACTTAACCACTGCAGCACCAGGGCCCCAAATTAGGAATAGGATGTTTGAGTTCTGTGAGAGGACAGCTACCCCACACTCCTGCCGGGACTGCTGAGGATCCAGGTAGGGTGTCAGTCTCAGGAGCCACAGCCCAGGGAGGGTGGCTCTTGGGGCCTCAGCCTCAGGAGCCACGGCCCAGGGAGGGCAGCTCTCTGGAAAATAAAGACTGTGGTTGAAGTGATTGCTTAGGAAGTAAAGATATTTAAGTAAATAATTATATTAGACTTATCAATAGATTTTGCCAAGTATAAGAAATCTGTAAAAACAAGTAACTCTTGAATGCTGACAGTCGTTAATTAGAAAATATTGTAAAAGGTCTCTTTTGTAGTAGAAACCTTAAAAAACAAAATGCCTTAAATAAGAAATATATGAAGAAAACTAAGGGCCCTCAAGGAAGACATGAGTGGCATGAGAGAGGTCTTCTCAGATGGGAAGGTACCCATTGTTTGCCAACTATAGGTTTGGTGCAATTCCAGTAAAAATCTCGATGGAGTCTTTTTCAGTATAACAAGACGTCCCTGTCAGATAAGAAAGCCTGTTAGAAATCTGCAGAGTCTGAGATGGGTCAGCGTTAGGTCAGAGGTGGAGCCCCCGCGGGAAGAAACTGTCCCACCTGAAGAAGGACGAAATTATACTTTATTTTTGACTATAACTGGGTGATACGTGTATAAATGCATGCGGGTGTGTTTGTGTGTGCACATAAATTCCCGAACAGTGCTTTTCTGGAGGGGATACGAGGAGGTGACACTCTATAAATGACTTCCTGCTGACCTATGAGCCTTTAATTCTATCCTAACGGGCCAGGGAAAAACTTCCTTCAGAAAGACCCTCATGATGTCAGTAACCATGGCGTGACGCTCCAGCTCGAGAAGACTGGCTAAATAGCTTATTTTATAATCTTCATGTATTGGAGTCTGATACTCAAACCAAACCAAACTGTTGTCATTGAGTGGATTCTGACTCCTAGCAACCCCGTAGGACAGAATAGAACTGTCCCATAGGGCTTCCTAGGCTGTAATCTTTACGGGAGCAGACTGCCACATCTTCTGCAGAGCAGCTGGTGGGTTCAAACACTGACTTTTGGAGTATGATGCTGACGTATAAATAATATTTACCAAGTGTTTTAATTCCATAAGAAATGCATTATATTTTATAAAAAAAAATATAACGGACACTATATGATCACAAGTACTTTTAAAAAGCGTGGGAAATCGAGCGTAAACACGAGAATAGAAACGAGGAGGGAAAGCTCTCAGAGGACGCATCACCGCCTCCCAGCCCGCCAGCCTTTGCCGCTTCCCTGGGGCTTGAGGCCCAGCGTCCACGGAGGGTCTGTGGGGGAGGCCGCGTTCTCATTGTTTCTCACTTTCCCTGCAGAATGTGATGCTAGACCTTTCCAAACGCAGCCGCAGCGGTAAATTCCGCCTCGTGACCAAGTTCAAAAAGGAGAAAAACAACAAGAACAAAGCAGCGCGCAGTAGTCTGGGAACCCCGGGTACCTGCCCCCGCCTGCCAGCCGTCCTGGACCCGTCGGTCCCGTGTCTGCTCTCCTACACGACCTCGCTGGCCCTGCCCCCTTGTCCCCTTTACTCTGGTCACCCGGCCTGCACCAGTAGCCTGTCTGTAGCTCTGAGCCACACCCTTCCTGTCCCCTCTCCACTGCCATGCTCTGCCCTGGCCTTGCTCTCCAGGGGGACTCCAGGGTGAGGGCCCCCAGACCTCCTAGCACTCCATACTGAGGGTATGATGTGTGTGGGGGGGACAGAGGTGACAGTGACAGCCTTGGAGACAAACGCTCCGGACTCAGGCGGCCAGCCAGGACCTGTCGCTAGGCCTGCTGCCTAATCAATGCATTAATCAGATTCCTGGGCCCCCAGTGATGGAGGGCGGTGAGATCAGTAGGGAAGAGGACTTTGAGTCAATAAATCGGTGCTTCGATCTCCCTCTGAGTCAGCCCTGAGTGCCGAGCTGTACCCAGCCCGGATTTGGGGCAGCGTTGGCTGCCACTAAGGGCAGGCCCTTTTTGATTTTCTTAGCATGTGTGACGAGAAATTGGGTTTCTGTTCATGATTGTGGCTCTGACATGAAATCTCAAGCTTGCATGTCTCCTTCCTGCCATGGTCCCGTGGTGAGGTCCAGTCACTCCAGGTCAGCTGACACAGCCCCTGAAACTGGGGTGTTCACCCCCTTCTGGGGCGTGTTGGAAGATGTCCTCTTAAAAAGCTGGTGACTGGCCTGGCAGGAACGACCCTGCTTCCGCTGCTTCCTGCCCCCTAGAGCTGCTGACCCTGCCCTCTTCCTGCTGACAGCGCGGGGCCTGGCCGGGTGGCGGGCTCTGCTGGGGGCGCGGGCTGGCACTCACTGCGCTCCTGCTTTCCGTCTCTGACAGTGCACCTCTGGGGGACAGAGGAGGTGGCTGCCTGGCTGGAGCACCTCAGTCTCTGTGAGTATAAGGACATCTTCACACGGCATGACATCCGGGGCTCCGAGCTCCTGCACCTGGAGCGGAGGGACCTCAAGGTACTTGCCAGTTGTCTCCTGAGGGCCTCCTGGGCCTTTCCACGGCCTCTGTCCCTCCCCCACCTGCTGTGTCCCACGGTCCTGGTTCTTCTCACCTTCCTCGGGGTGCGTGTCGCCTCGCCTGCCCCAGCCGGAGACAGCCAGGCAGGAGTACACACAAAACCAAACCCAACCCACTGCCATCAGGTCGATTCTGACTCATAGCGGCCTGACGGGACAGAGTCGAACATCCCCATAGGGTTTCCAAGGCTAAATCTTTACAGAAGCAGACTGCCACATCTTTCTCCTGTGGAGCCGATGACCCTTTGGTTAGCAGCCGAGCACTTTAACCATTGTGTCACCAGAGTTCCTAGAAGTACACATACTGGGGAAAAATGCTGATTTCTTTAGCCTAATCAGACAGCGGAGTGTTTTAACATCAGAGACTCTGCACAGGGGGACCTGAAGAAGGACGGTGCACAGCCACCGTCCAGGAGAGGGACCCCTGCACAGCGGCTGCCTCCGTATTTACTGTGCTGCGATTCTCAGTTCTCTAAGGTCCCGCCAACTCCGAGGCAGCTGTGTGCACCTCCACCCAGTTATTTCTTGGCTCTGCGTGGGTGATGGCAAAAGCCCTAGAGTATTGGTTCTGGGGTCACAAACTTTAGTGAGTAGACGAATTCAGAAATAAGGAGTCTGTGAATGAGGATGGGCTACATTCAGTCTAATAGCTGAGACAGGTTGGAGGTGGCTGCGGTTTCTACAGCACGCCATGCACAGGGTGGCCTCCAGGCCCCGTGCGCGTAGGCGCGGCCAGGGCCTCCGCCATCGTGGGTTTAGCTCGTCCTCAGCCGGGACCAGCCCAGGACGCCCAGGGCCCGTCTTCCCGCCTGCCTGGGGCAGCAGAGTCCGGGCCTCTAGCCGCCGTCTGTCCTGTGACCGCCCGGGACAGCAGCTCTCGGCCCTGTCTTCACCCTCTGGTTTCTCCCCGACAAGTCAGTGACGTAGATCACAGGAGACTGTCAGGCATGGCTGTGACAGGCGTGCCGTTTCCCCTTCGTGTCATCGTTTGGTGGCCTGCCGCGCACCCACAGCTGTCCTCTCTCCTGCAGGACCTGGGCGTGACCAAGGTGGGCCACATGAAGCGGATCCTGTGCGGGATCAAGGAGCTGAGCCGGGCGGCCGCCGAGGCCTAGCGTCCGTGCTAGCGGCCTGTGTGCTGCGGGCCCGGGACTGACGCTGCCGCCCATGGTGCTACCACCCCGGCCGCCACCCGCTGCCCGCCACCCGCCGCCTGCGGGGCCTGACACCAACGCAGCTACCTTGGAGCCAGCACCTTCCACCTGAGCCCGGCGGTTGCCAGGGGCGTGCTGTGCCCCCTTCACGGAGAAGGCTTTAAAGAAGGCCTGCGGTTCCCGCTTTGCCAGCGGCATGTGGCATGGAGACTTTCCCTGTGCTGTTTAATTTGAAATGAAAAGAAAGAAAAAGCCCCTCCTGAAGTCATGGCGGCTGTGTTCCTGAGCTGGCGGCCCATCCTCAGGTCCTGGTCCCCTCTGTGCCGCCTTGTCCTCGAGCTCGGCCGGGGCACCCCACTCCGGCTCCTGGTCACTGGAAGGGGTGAGCTTGTCAGCCCTTCCCCCGCAGTGTTGCCTGTAGAAGCTTCCTGGCTCTGGGGGACTTTTTGTCTCCTTTCTGTGGGGGGACATGCAGGGTCCCAGAAGTGTGGCGGCCTTGGGCAGGGTCTGTGGGGCCCTGCTTCCTGTCCACTGGGGGCTGGGAGCTGTTCTGAGAGCCACTGACCCAGCGGGGGGCTGTTGATACCTAGTGCTGCTGTGGGGACTCTAACTCCAAGGCACCCCACACCCTGGCACCCCTCTGTCCGCAACCACAGAGGCGGTGTGAGCTCCAAACCCGAGACAGGTGGTGACAGCAGGGAAGGGCAGTGCCAGCGTGGGGGGAGGGCAGGAGCTGAAGCCCAGGGAACAGGCCTTCGGCCCCAGGACCTTGAGGTCACTGCCGCTGACTGTGCCCTTACCCCTTCCAAAGATGCTTATGCCCCCCCGGGGCTCGGGATACATCCTGGAAAGGGGCTTACCTCAACAAAACCCCGGAGTGGGGCAAGCGGCACCGGCCAGGCCCCCTCTTGGAGTCAGCCCCCCACCTGACTCACCCCATTTCACAGGCCAGGAGGCAGCGTGTGGTCCATGGGCCCACAGAGCCAGGGGTGGACTCGGGCCCCTGGAGGCGCTGATGAGTGGAAGGTAGTTACGGACTCCTGACGGACTCGATTTCAGAAGTGCAGATTGGGTGGGCCCTGCCCCTGTGACTGAGGTGCTCCTGTGATGGTCCTTGGGGGCTGGGCCAAACCTCAGGGGAGTGTGGGCTCTGGGTGAGGTGACCCGTCCCCCCACCCGAGTGCGGTGCCTCACTGGGGCTCCAGGCCCTGCCGTCAGGCCAGGTCCCCATGACTGAGTCTCCTGTCCCCAGGCGAGGCGGTGTGTGAGGACTCGTGAGTGAAGGCACCTCAGCTCTGCACGCAGTCCTGGTTGCCTCTTTAGAAGTAACGAGGGGTGGAAAACGGGTTGCACGCCACCTTTCCCATTCTGTGATTCTGTTTCCCATCACCACAGTCATTTTAGGTGGAGGTAGTTTGAGAACGAAATACTCTTAAGTGTCCACCAGAAATCACTAGCTTTTCAAGCTAACAAAGGAGGTAATGGTACCAGATTTGGGGGGTGCTCTCCTGGATCAGAGGGTAGGGTACGCCCCCGGGATTGTGAGTCTTCAGAGCCGCCTCCAGGGCCAGCTGGGCCTTGTGAGGAGGGTGCACAGGGCCAAGAGACATGGCAGACCTTGCAGTGATGAGGGGCAGTGTCTGGGGCACCACGAGTCCCTAATGTCCGCACTTACAAAGCCTTTGGTTTGGGTCGAAAGTATTGTTTAAAATTAGTTTGTTGTCAGTGATTAAAAAACACTGTGTAAAAACTGTTTTTCTAGTTCCAGTAAGTTAGAATACGAAGGAATAAACATGGGTTTTGTGTGACCCTGCCCACGAGGCTCCTCTGCCCACAAAGTCCCTGCTGTGCTGCCGAAGGGCCCGGAGAAGGGGTCCCTGAGGGGCCTTGTGTCCTGGAGGAAAGGTTTTGTGGCCTCGGGTGGGACCTACCCCTCATATTTATAATCTTAATTTATACAGTGATCCCCGTGGAAGAGATGCCTCTTGTATTGTTATGTACATAGTCCGTATCTGATGGTTGTAAATAAGTCGTCCTGTGAATAAAACAAGCCTGTTTCTGACCTTCCATTGTCAGAGTCCTTTTCATCATTCTTTGTGCTCTGACATAAAATCGTGGCTGCCAAAATCTTTCCACACTGGATTCAGAAATGTTTTTCAGCTGCTCTAAAAATAAGTTGAATTGTTGCTGGCTGAGAAGCAAGACAGACTGCCATTGTATTTTTTAGGGCGTGGTTCTGAGCTGCTGAATTAATTGAGCAAGGAGGTGGGGTGCAAGCTAGGGCTGGGTTCTCAGACTTAAAAGGCTGCAGAGCCACCTGCCGGAGCCACCTGCAGCGCTAGCCCGGGTCTGCTGAGGTTGAATAGTTGTAGCTTGTATTTCAGCTCTTAAACGTTTCGTATAAAACTGCAAACCTGGAGCTCTGCGACCCTCGCTGAAGTTTTAGTGCCTTATTTCATTCAAGTAAGCCGCCTCTCTAAGATCAAGGTCACTTTGTCATCCCCCACGTTTCTGGAACAAGGGACGGGGCTCTGAGATCACGAAGAGAGCATCGGACTGGCAGGACACGAAAGGGCTGCATGGGCTTTGGAAGTGCTGGTTGCCTCCCCAGTGGCTCTTCCTCCCTTCTCCTGGTTTCACAGCCCTGGTGTGGCCTGGTGTGCACGCCTCCTTACGGCTTTGTATTTCAGGACCTCAGGCATCATGGTTGCAAAATGGCTGCCACAGTTCCAGGCATCACGTCCCAAAGTGACCATGGTCAACGTAAGGGGAAAGGGGAAAGGCTGTCTCTTCTTAAGTGTCTTTTTTTATTTTTTATTTTATTGTACTTCAGGTGAAGGCTTACAGAACAAATAGTTTCTCATGAAACAGTAGTACACGTTGTTTTATGACATTGGTTAACAACCCCACAACGCAGTAACCCTCTAACTTCTCAACCTTTTTTTTTTGGTGAAAATACACATAGCCAAAGATACACCGTTTCAAAAATTTCTACATGCACGGTTCAGTGACATTGACTACGCTCTTCCAATTGTGCTGCTATTCTCACTTGAGATGAAGGCTTACAGAACCAAATAGTTTCTCATTTAACAGTTACTACACATGTTGCCCTATGACAACGGTTAACAATCTCACAACACATCAACAATATCCTTACTCAACCTTGGGTTCCCTATCACCAGCTTCCTTGTCCCCTTCTGCCTTCTGGCCCTTGTCACTGGACTCCTGTACCTCGTTAGTCCCATTTGGTTTTACGGGGCTGTCCACTCCCAGGCTGAACAGTGAACCTCGGAGATAACTTCACCACTGAGCTAAAAGCGTGTCTGGGGGCCATACTCTCGGGGTTTCTCCAGTCCCCTTTAAGCCAGTAAATCTGGTCTTTTTTTGTGAGTTAGAATTATGTTCTACATCCATCTCCAGCTCTGTCCAGAACCCTCTGTTGTGATCCTGGTCAGAGCAGTCAGAGGTGGTAGCCGGGCACCATCTAGCTGTACTGGACTCAGTCCGGTGGAGGCCTTGGTAGCTGTGGACAATTAGTCCTTCAGACTAATCTTTTCCTTGTATCCTGTTCTCTTCATTCTCCCTTGCTCCCGAAGGGATGAGACCAGTGGAGTATCTTAGATGGCCACTCACAGGCTTTTAAGACCCCAGACTTAAGTGTCTCTTTTTAAGATAAAGAACACTTTTTCAGCTAGCCTCTCCTGATGTCTTACTGGCTGGAACTGCACCACCGTGACCGAAGCAGTCAGTGGGAGCAGACCATGATGATGGGCTCCGACGATGATGGTTCACACTGTTAGAATGTTTTATACCAGGTGCTAGCCTAAGAACACAGGTTCGCTCATCGAGTCCTCCTAACCGTCCTTCAGGTGCTGACAGGCCAGCACCAGAGCTGTCCTCGATCACTCTGCCACGCTGCCTCCACGGGACTTCCTGTATGGGGCTTGTTTTCTGTCTTACGAGCCCTGGGAGCAGGCCTTGCCTGACAAATATTCTCTCTCCTGAGGGTAGACTTGGGTGAACATTTTATGAAGATATATACCTACGACACAGGTGTGTGGCCCAAGAACGGGGGTCAGGGAGCCCCCTACCAGAGCTGGGAAACTGGTGCAGAGGAAACTCCCTGGCTGACCAGCACACATCCATGTGGAGGGTCATCTGAGCGCTCAGGCAGTCCTTGGCTGGGCAGGGAGCTGCTCACCCCTGGACAGCAGCTCTGAGCACACCAAGCCAGGGGGGAGGCGCTGGCCTTGAACCTCCAGGACAGGAGCTCAGGCACAGCTCCTACACCAAGAGTGAAAGCTTAAGACGGTTGCAAACACTTGGAAGAAAACCAGCTGTCTTCAGGGTTGCTAAGGCCTTCTCACTCCAGCTGTTGATGGAAGCGCATCAGTAAAAAGCCTCCTGAGCTTGAAGGCAATTGTGTTGGCAGCAAACCCACAAGCTGGCTAATGGCCTGATGACTCGGTCCTCAAGATAACCGATCCCAGGTCTCCAGAACTTCACACTGAGGAAGAAACCACCACAGTGCTGACACCCGGAGAGGAATCCTTCCCAGTGCTCATCTCAGATGTACCAGGAGGGACAAGAGACACGCAGCCTTGTCCCAGAGGACAGGACTGGGCGCCAGTGCTTACCAGGGACTTGCTTCCTGGGCAGGGCGAAGATTCTTGCTCTTCCTGCCGGGCTGTGGGGGCTGTGACCCCACTACCTCTTCATCCCTTCCCCTTTTACCGTGGCCCAAGTAGGGCTTGTACTTGCCACTTAGCCATGGGCAGCTGACCTGCACTGAGCCGTGATGAATTCCGGCCTCACCGGAGATCTGAGACCCTGCCTGGGCACAGGAGGGACTGGAACTCTGAGCTGCCTCCCTTTGGGGAGGGGGTCTGTGTGCATTAAGGTGGGGGGAAGTGTCACTTCTAACACCTATGCCTGTGAAACCGTGTGTGAAATGGTGGGTGGCCACAGGGCGGGCCAGGTGACCTAGCAGCCGCCCCCTCTTCTGGTTGCTTGTCTTCTGTTTGGGAAACCATTTCCCCCACCCCCAGCGACCGGATGGAGTTGAGAGCAGGGGTGGGCAAGCTGCCCACTTTGAGTGGGCGGGCGTCAGGTCAGCATTTCCCCAGTCCTTGGGAAGAGGCTTGAGTCTGGCAGGACGTCATTCTGGAGCTACTGGCGGCACCTTCCTACAAAGGGGTAGGGGTAGGAGGCTGCAAGGGCCAGGGGCAGGTGTCCCTGTCCTCTGAGGCCTCAGCTCGGTCTGTGCCTGACAGGAGCTCCACTCCTCAGTTTTCATGAGCCAGGAAATTCCCATTTTTGCCCAAGCCAGCTTGAGTTGGGTTTCCATCACCTGCAAATGTAGAGTCCTGGTTAGCACCTGTGGGACCATCAGCCCAGGGCAATGGTGGTGGGGAGGGTAGAGGGAACCTGGGCAGCACATGGGAGGGAAGCTGGAAGCAATCTCTTTGTCGTCCACAGTGGATGGATACCATGGCTTTACTTTTTTCTGAGGTGCAGCAGGGATCTCCAGAATGTAAAATATCCACAACTGACTCATTGTATTTGGTTGAGCCTGTATTATGGCCATGCTTTGGGTGGACATGGAGTCAAGAAGAGAAGGAAAAATAAAAGGATGAGCTGTCTATCTCCCCATTGCAGGTATGGACTCCAGAGGGAAACAACGTCTATGAAGTCACAATTTTGGATTATCAGGGACTTCTTGCCCCTTGCCCCCATTTTTTTGCCAGTAAAATACATCAGTTTAACAAATGTTTTCTGTAACTCAACCAACACCGGCAGTCCTGTTTCCCTAGAAGGGAGAGTGAGAACTGGACCACTTCCAATTTCTTCCAACAGAATTTCCTCATGAGAGGGCGGGGCCAAGATGGCAGAGTAGTCAGACGCTTCTGGTGGTCCCTCTTACAACAAAGACCCCAAAAAACAAGTGAATCGATTACATATGACAATCTAGAAGCCCTGAACATCAAAGGCAAAGTTGAGGAATCGGACTGAATGGCAGGGGGAAAGATGATTTGGAAGCAGCGAGGAGTTGCCAGACCTGACCCAGCGGGAGCCAGAGTCCTTCAGGCTGGATCAGCTCGTGTATGCGGTGAGGCAAGCAGTGGCACTTGGGAGGCATTTTCCAAATCAGGAAAGCCCAGCGACAGAGACTCTACTTGGCCATCCAGAACCAGTGAAAAGCAGCGCTTGATCAGCGAAAGGTAAGTATTTATGTCTGGTCTACTGTTTGGATCAAAAAAACCCCCCTTTGGGAAAAACCTCTCTCCCATTTACCTCCCCTGCTCCCTGCTCTGCACTGGGTCCGGGATGGCTTCAGCAATTGCTGAGTCCCCCAGGCTGGAAGTAGGACCCATCATGCACCCTGAGCCATTCTCCCGGCCTCAGAGAGGGAACAAATTAACAAATGGGGAGTAATAATCTGCCGGCTCCCCTATGCCAGGAACTCAGGGTAGGTACGGCTCCTCTGCCTTGGCACAGGCATAAGGGGTCCACGGACTTTGAGTGCCTTTTGCCCCTCCATAGACTTGTGTGGGTCCATTTCAACAGCATAGGCCCTCATTACCATAGTCCAACAGGGTATATACCTGAAGTGAACTGTTTCAGCTGTGAAGTGGCAGGTGCGTGGCATTAAGCACTGCTCTGCCCATTAAGCAGGGTCTTCACCTACCCACATCAGGGGCCCGAGGACTGGCAGCTCCACCCACACCACCTAGTCACCTGCAACAGGGGTCTAAGAATAAGTGGTGCCTTCCAGTCCTTATAGCCAACAGCATCGGGTGCTCATAGTTCGGCTGCAAAATCCATCCACCTACGCGCTCTGGGGAACAGGGAGATGCTTTCCTCCCAGACACTCAGGGGCAGCCGTCAGCCCCTTGCTTTGCTTAGTGGGTGACCCCCTACTGTAGCCAGATACCTGTGCCTACACCACACACTTGGTGACTGTGTGGACACCTGAGCTGCATCCATACAAGAAAAGTAAACAGAATCCTGTGCTCACATACTTAGTAACAGATCTAACCACCTGGTGACAAGAAGTTAGAGCTTCAAAAGTGCCAATAATCAAACTAGTTCACACGAGCAGCCTATTTAGGCATATCAAAACAAAACAAAACAAGAAGCTAGG